CCCAAAATAACATGCAAAAACCTAATGTAGCCGACCCAGGCTTCCGGCTGTAGCTAATGTCTGAGTCAGTCAGTGGACTGGACCACCGAAGGACTGCTGCATCAGATATAACCAGATGGATGACCTGCCCAGCCTGGTAGTAGAGCTACAAAACAAACTAGGAAGGCTGAGAGGTATTAGAAAATCAGAGACGGACATTGACTGGTGCGACTATGCTCTGGCTTCCCTAAGACAGGAAGCCAACAGAAAGGAGATCCTGTATCCATCCACCAGCAAAGAGCAGGTACCAGCTGTGAAGTGAGAAGCAAGTAGAGAGCAGTCCATACTCGGGGAAGCAAGCAAAATTCTTGTTTGCCCACCTCACTTTTCCCTCACAATATCCTCATAGGCAAACTCAAGAATAAGTGAGTTGGATGAGTGTGATGGTGGGATGGACTGAGAACTGCCTGAGTGGCAGGTCCAAAAAGTCTTGTGATCAGTAGTACAGAGTAAAGTTGGAGATCTGTCATACTAGACATAATGTTCTCTGTTGGGCTCAGTGTTGTGTAACTTGTTCATCAATGATTGGATGAAAGAGCAGATGCCTGCTCAGCAAGTTCAGTGCTGATACAAAACTCAGAGGAGTTGCTGATAACTCAGAGGGACTTCAACAGCTTTGGGAGATGGATAGAGGAGAAACTTTTGAAATTCAACAAGGGGAAATGCAAATCCTGCACCTGTGGAGGGACAGCCTTGGTCACCGGTATAGGCTGGGAGCCAGCCTGCTGGACAGCAGTGCTGCAGGGTAGGACCTGGGTGTCCTGGTGCATAGCTATATGTCCCTGACCAGCTGTGTGCCTTGGGGCCGAGAAAGGCAACGTCTGGGCCTTAGAAAGAGTATTGCCAGCAGGTCGAGGGAGGTGATCCTGCCCCTCAACTCAGCCCTGATGAAGCCACATTTGGAGCATTGTTTACACATCTGGGCCTCACAGTACAAGAGAGACATGGAGCTCTTGGAGTAGTTCTATCTGAGTGCTACTAAGTTGGTCAAGGGTCTGGAGAATCTCTCTTATGAGGAAAGGCTGATGGAGTTGGACCTGTTCAACCTTGAGAAGAGATGGCTGAGAGGGGACCTCATTAAGATGTATAAATATCTAAAGGATGGGTATCAAGAGGATGGACCAAGCTCGTCTGTCTGGTGTCAGCCAGTAGAACAAGAGGCAGCAACTGATGCTGAGGTAGTTCCATCCAAACATGAGGAAGAACTTCACTGTGCAGTGACTGAGCATTTGAACAGGCTGCCTAAAGAGGGTGTGGAGTCTCCCTTGCTGGAGATATTCCAGAACCATCTGGACACAGCCCTATGCCATGTGTTCTGGCATGATCCTGCTTGAGCAGGGAAATGGGATCAGATGACCCACTGTGGTCCCTTCCAAACTGATAAATTCTGTGGTTGTTGCGTGTTGGGCCCCTATGCCTCACCTGAGTTTGTCAGTGTGCACAAGGGTTGGCCAGCACAGTGTTGAGCAGAATCTGGCTGGTGTGATCCACCCTGCTTCCTGGCATGTGTCCATGATTTGCTCACAGCTCTGCAGCTGAAGCATGGGATGACTACCACATGAAAGCTGTTGGCTGCCTGAGGAAGCACTGGGAGGAGATGGTATAGCCAGCATTTGCATGGCCTTTCTAACCATTTTTCATTGACTGTAACATTACAAGCTAACATTTTCAGCTGAAGGTTTTATTTCACAGCTCTACAGTTTTCTGTATGTCAAGAAGTAAAAAAGTCATAAATTTAGCAGCATACTGCTTCTTTTGAAGGACTAGAAACCGTGAATAAAATAAAGCCAACAAGCATTAAAATATGTACTATCACTGCAGTATCTTGTTTTTCTAATAATTTTTCAGACTCATTCCTTCTGTTTTTACAGTCTTATATTTTGGTCATTAAGGGCAAAATTAGCTAATTTGTGAGAGAAGATTCAGTAGCAGTTTTACAGAATGTGGAAAAGATTTAAAGATCCTTTATGCTGACAAAGGCTCACAGCCTGTAGAGGGGAGAAGCTGCACAGAAGAGCTCAAACTTGGTAATAGCCCTATTTTCTCAGTAAACAGGTGGGAGAGATGAGTACGCACTTTTAGGGTGGGAAGTATCAAAATGTTACTATTAAAACTTATGTTGAGCTTTTTAGAACATTCTTATCTATTTCTTACCAATTACACACTTGCACTTTCTCAGTGCAACATTAAAGCTGCCTTTTTGTATAAGAGACCAAAATGCTGAAAGTATACAAAAAAGAGTTCATTACTGACGTAGATCACAGGAACTTCAGGCCTCGAGCCTAACTCGCCCAAAGCTGAGTGTGCAGGGTCAGCCCACCTTTTTATGGGCTTCAATTAGTTTTATCTTGGAAAGCTCTGAAGACAGACAATGCCATCCTATCAGGGCTTCCTGTTCTTGAATGTCCTGGGGTGAAAAGTTGTTTCTGGTAGTGGCTGTATAAAACATGATAGCCTGAATACAACCTCCAGAGCTGAGTTTCTGCTTATTTGAAGCTGTGAATGGAAAAAAAAAACCAAACCCCTAAGATATACACTACCATTTTTATCGTACCCTCTTGTTGGTGGTGGTTGGGACTTTTTTTGTGGTGGTTTTCTTGTTATTCTTTCTCCCCCTTGTTACGGATGCCCATGGCCTCAGACATACCATTCACAATAGCCAGCCCTCTGGTTTGCCACATTTTTGAAACTCACCATGAGCAGGCACTACTGAGAACGGAAGCTATAAAGCAAAAACAACCCTACCAAAATTTTCTCTGATCATGGTGAGAATCATTAAAATTTTGGAATGGGAGATGCCAGTGGGATTTAGGTGACTGATTTCACTGCAATCAAATCACTTTGAAAGGCTTGGCCTTATGGACGAATCTTAACCTCCACCCCTACAAGGCCATGATCATGTAAATAAAGCTTAAATGAAAAAATTTGAGAGGACATGAATACTAAGGAATACACTGGACACAAGTTAGACCAAGTATTAGTATGTATTTATGCACAAGAATAAAAACAGCTTTACAAGTTGAATTGGAAATTTAAACAGAAGAAGTTTAACAGCTTTTGTATATTATATTAAATAACCAAAACACCTTTTTCCAAAATTGGTAAAGAATAAATAATATAATTTACAGTATGGTACAAAAAATAATCAGTAAGGACAGACATTTTGCTTTATACATACACTATATAGGTATATTTATAATCTATAAAACAAATTCACATCTCAAACAAGCCAGAAACCTTAGATGATATGGCTTAACTATTATTAAAAGAAACAGCATTAAATTTTGCTGCCAGAACCATAAGCTCTAAAGCAGTTACCATGTTTCATAATTAATGATAACTTATTGCCATAGTGCTTGCCAAGGTTTCATTTAGTTAACATTTACAAACTGCTGTGAAATTAACAGATTCAAAGGTTTGAAAAGGTTAAAAAAAAGTGCAGTACTTTCCTTATAAATGCATCTGAAGTTTGAGTGTAGAAAACAAAATGCAACTGAATTTCCACTCTGGGATCTGCTGTTAGTAAATGAGCTGTCTTTATAGGTTAGATTTGAATCAAGCCATTTAATTCAATTTAGAAATATAGGAGGTGTCAAAAAAAGGCTTAACAATGCTGTATGAAAAACAATTACTATTCCTATGCTTTGCAGATTTAGTGATACAGGATAAAACGGATTATGATCAGGATGCAACACCCTGCACAGATCTCTGTCAGTGTCTCCACACACACCTGGGTGGATCCAGCCTTGGGCTATGGTACTGCTCTGCACCCAGCACATGGTGAAGAGACTCTGAAACTTCTACCATTTACCTTGTCAACTACTGAGAACTGCCTTATGGTCACTGAGAGGGAAAAGCCTAGAACAGTTAATCCCAGACCTGGAGGCTGTTAGTGTCCCTTAGTCCTCTCCAACACTTCATAGTGCTCCGGGAAAGTACTAACCTAATGAAGTCACTTCTATGTCAGAAATGATACTGTGTGCATTTCAGTGTCACTTGCTTGGATGTCTGCTTAGCCTGACATTGTCCCTCATACAGACTTTGTTACTGCTGTTGGGGAAGCTGAAATAATTAAAACTGAACAAGTTTTGAGTATTACCACCCCCCTGCCCACGCACACACATGCACGTGTGTGTATATACCACCTCCTTAGCAATATCAGGCACAAACAGATGATTACTATTGTAAAGCACAGTCACCTAAAACCTAGAGCTGCTCCGATTTAAGATGTGTTAAAATGGCCTTTCACATAGTAAGGGTAACAAATACTGCATCAATTCAGAATTACCACAATGACCTTAATTATTCTTAATGTCTTCCCTTGTCCTCAAAGGGCTTTATTCTTAAAAAGCAGTTTGCAATGCGTTGCATTTCTGAAATCAAATTCTGCTTCATAATGCCAACTTTTAAGGGGTTGATGCCAAACACATTTCTAACCGTAACATTCTGAGTGCTGAACTGATTTCTGTAATTTATACTCCATTATTACTGAGTGGTTCAAGCCCACTTGCAAAGGTTCTGAGTTTTAGAAATTTTCTGATGTCATGGCATCATCAAAAATAGCCATTTGTGCTGCCTACATTCTGCAGTTGTGTCCTTCCCCCTGGATGGTCTAAAGAAGGGCAGCTGAAAGTTCCTTGTATTGCGGGCAAAAAAACTTCATGGATCAGGATGAAGTGCTCTGCTCTCCACTCTTGTGGCAGGTGCAGCAACACTGGCCATTATTCTAGGCAACTTCAGAGTCAAACCCAGTGTTATATCCATTGTCTTACTGGCATCAATGGGGAAGATGAAAAGTTTGTCAAGTTCCAAATACACTGGAGACCCCCACATTACTCTTGCAATATTTAGAAGTTTAAGAATGACAGTTCAGATTTCTTTTCAGACAGCACTTGATAAGAATGTAACACATTTCCTCCTGCACGTTCTGTAATCCACAGCCATAGTAGGTGCCTTCTGAAGGATTTTTGGAGACATAGCATATAGAATAATCAGCATTAGTAATGGAGGAACCCAAAACCAAGAGGAACAATCTGACAAAGTCCAAAACAAACACAGTTAAAGTCTAAGTAAAACTGAAAAGTTTTAGTGGTCTTGACTCTTCAGATTAATAGGTCTCCTCTCCATACCAAGGGGGAATGCTCAGAACAAAAAAGGCCCCAGCATTCATTTCTGTGACAGCCTCCAACCTTTTCTATTACAGGTTTATGTGATTACCTGATAATTCTGTCAAAATTCTCAAATAAGGCTCTGTGTGCATCAGAAAATTTGTTCAATTTTCTCCTAACGACAGAAAACACAAGGCCAACTCCGTAGCAGCTAAAAATCATCTGCCTAAAGCAGGGTGAAGGGCGAACAGCAGAGTCAGTCCATTGTGAGCAAGTTACAGGAGACTCCCAGTCAAAGAAATGCCTTGTACAAGTAGCTAAAGGCAGGCAGAACTACATCCACCAAGTACAGTGCAAGTTGGGAAATGAACCCATGATAACAGCCTACGGAATGGAGAAGGTTTGTTTATTCATTATTAATACAGATATATAGTAGCAGCCCCTTGAAAATGTTCAGCTACTCACACCAGCTAAGGGACATCCTCTAACTGGAGAAGCAGACAAGTGCTTACAAAAGGGGCAAAACATGGGTATTCTTACTCAGGATAGTAAAAGAAAGAAGAAAGAAGAAAGAAAAGGAAAGGGAATAAGAAAAGTCTCCTGAGTTAAAAAGCTAGAATTGACGGACAATCAGCTCCCCAGAAATTGACTGTCGATTTACTATTAACTTGCTATCCTGTTGAACCCACTGGAATCAGTATCTGGGTTTTTCCTACAGTAAAACACAACATTAAATGCACAGGGATTTCAGAGAGGGAGTGCCAGACTCACTCATGCCTCGGAGTGACTGTAATGAAGAATGATGCTGAGGTGCTACAGAGCACCCGGAGTTCACAGAACAAAGAGGAAGTAGGGAAGGACTAAAGGATTAAGCTAGGACTTGACACTTCTCTTCATGATATGAAACTGATCTCAACTGTTTTAGCACTAACCTAGTATTTGTTCCTACACATGACAATATTCTTTCCTATTTCCTCTCCCAGGTAAATCCTCAGGTTTTGTGAAGACGACAATATTTACATGTTTCTAGCAAAGCCAAGACATAATTATGACACAGCTTTCCTAGTGTAAGCTCTTTGGCCATGTTTCCAGACCTAAAAAGCAATTGCTCTTCATGGCGAGCAATAAAGCACTCTCCCACTCACAGGGTGAACTGTGCAATGTGCTGAAGAATCTCAAAGATTAGGAATATGAGTGCAGTCAGAGTGATGATGATGATTGTGATGTGATGGGGTTTAAAAGCAGGGGATCCAAGCAGCATGGGAGGAGGGCAGATCAGAGCTCCCCTACCAAACAAGCAACTAGGTGTGAGCCCTGCTGGAATGATCAAAGAGCCAAAGGAACAGAGTGGTCTGTAAGAAGACAGCATCGAGGAGTGGCAGTGCCCTGGACAGAGTGCAAGAACTTCAGTTTGATTGAATGTAAGAAGACTGCCAACTAGGACGTGTCAATATACACAATGGTTCCCCTACCCACCTTCATCCTCCACAACTTTCACGTGGATCCAAAAGCATGGCGTTTTGATCATTACGCAAATAATAATTCATATACAGGAGCTTGTGGCAATCCCATCCCTACTTGAGCTGCTTGTTTAGGTGATTCCAAAGTACAAATCCAGGACTGTCCCACAAACCTGCAATCTTACATCACTAATACAGGGACACACTTGTCTCCTGTAATGTTATTCCATGTTCTGTTGTTGCCAGCATATTGCACATTCCAAGACTTGCAAGTTCTTCTTAAGACCTTTGAAATCAATGCTTCTCTGTTAGAAAAAAGCACTCAGAACAGGGATAACTCAGCCTCAGCTGCTGCCCTCATCAAGTTCCAGCTCTGCAAGATCCAACTTAGCTGAATAGTCTGCACCAGCCTGCTGGTCATTCCCTTACTGTGACAGATCCCCAGTCGGGGGACCACCACCTCCTCCATCGAACAGGATCTCCCTGCGAGTCGGCTCAGGTATTGACAGCTCCTGGGCAAGGTCATTAAACCGAGATATGTAATCTATGCTGTTCTCATTCATCATGCAAGCCAGCTGGGAATCCACCACCTGAAAGAGACAAGGAGAGAAGTGATGAGCTACATGTCAGTGACAATTTCACGAAGTAACTGAAGCTGGAAGGGACATCTTGAAAGCATTTTATCCAACCATCTCATTTGTGCAGGGTCAGCTGCCCTGAACCTTGTTGGGTAGGTGCTGAATTATGCCCATACACAGACATTCCAAAACTCTCTGGGTACCCTGTTTCCATGCCTGATTACCTCAAAATAGATCTCTTGTCTTCAGGTGGAATTTAATGTGTTTCAAATTTTGCTTGCAGCCTCTTGTCCTGAGAAGAGTCTGGCTCCCCTCAGCTTCATTCCCAGCCTCTCCTCATATGAAAGAGACACTTTATCTCACTTGACCCGAGTTAGAGGACAGCTCTTCTCATCCACAACTAAATGGAAGCTTCCAAAAAACCTAATCACCTACAGTCTCAACAGGCCTTAACTGCTCCAATTTAGCATTAGGGTGCTCAGGTAGATGATCTAAAGATATTATCTCTGCCACAAGAACTGCTCTCCTGTGCATGGAGGCTTACCCTATTTTCTTCTAAAGCGAGTTGGTAATATTGAGGGCTACAATGTCACTTCAAATCCATGCAAATAAATGATCATACATTTCTTTAATTAGAACACACCTTCACAGCTTCTCACCACCAAGCAAACAGAATCTTTATGCCAGAAGTGGATCTGTGTTTCAGGTCTGAAGCTGCCAATGTCACACTAAATCTGCATGACCTTGCTGCAGCTCCTGGTTACATGGCCTGTATAGAACCTCCTTATCCAAACCCAAAGGGCAATAGACAAATGACACATTCCTTCCATGAGGGCATGTCCCCAAGAAAATAGAAGTTATGTGATGTTGTACTAAGTTAATAACTAAACTGCGGGACAACTGAGACTGGAAGGGACCTGAAGAGGTCTCTAATTCAACCACCTGCTCAAAGCAGGTTCATCTATAAGGACAGACCAACTTACTCGGAGCTTTATTGAGGTGAGCCCTGGAAAGCTCCGAAGACAGACACTGCATAACATTTCTGGGCAACCTGTTTCCTTGCCTGCCTATCTTCAACATGAAAAAGCTTTTCTATAGATGCAGCAGAACCTTCCTCAGTTCAGCTTTTGCTTGTTTCTCCCACCTCATGTCACTGTTCCATAAAAGGCTTACTACATCTTCTCAATGACCTTACTGCAGGCATTGGCAGGCAGCAGGGTCCCTTGCACCCTGAAGCCTTTTCTAGGCTGAACAAGCTTAGACATCATCCTTTCTTCACCGCCTGATCGTCCTGGTAACCCTCAGCTGAACTTGCTCTGGTTAATCTCTCTCCTATATATTGGGTGCTCTAAACTGATGACAATATTCTAGACATGGCCTCACAGCAGGTAGATTCTACTACTCTACAGAGTAGAGCACGGTAATCATAATTTTGTTCAATATCCCTGCCATGCTCCTACTAAGAACAGCTCATGACATTGTTGCTCCCCTTTGGTTCCACACCTTTGGATCTGCCCTGGATCACGCTCAGCTCGTGTCTATTGGCATATGCAGCTACAGCAGAGCTGCTTCCCAGACAGCCAGTCCCCAGCTGATACTGCTGTGGGGGTTATACCTTAATCCCTTCCTAGAGCAGGACTGCATTTTCCTTGCTAAGTTGCATAATGTTCCTGTAGCTCATTCTTCCCATCCATCCCTCTGAAAGGGAGCTCTGTCCTTAAGTGTGTAACAGCCTTAAAAACTGCTGGGCTTCATTCTACCCCTTCAAAATAGTTCAAAACAAAGGGATAGCTCTGCAGCTATTCAGATTCAGCAGCACAGAATCTTCTGCCATCCTCTCAGGTGACTTGGTATTAGCCATGTCCTACTTCTTCCTTCTTGACCTATTTGTTTTTTCCTACCAGGCTTCCAATTGTATTGTAGCATCACTATTATTGTTTCTCTTATCTTTAGCACTTTTGTTTCTTGCTCTACAAAGCAGGACCACACAGAACAGAATGATTAAATCTTTCTCTGTCAAAACAAAGGTATATCCAACAGGTGAATAAGACCTCCCTCAGCAAAAAGAACCTGGGTTGAAGGCACTCACAGCAGCTTCTCACAGCAACTCCGGTGTTGGGTAATTACCTTCAGATAATTGTACATCTTTATGTTATGACTGTAATCCTTTTTTACTGAGCTAAAGTGCAGATGTCAAAGCACCTCTGCCTTGGAAGTATCTCAGGAAGGTCTGAGGGACAGTACCCAGCAATTTCCAGCACTGCAAGAGGAAGCAGACTCTGAGTGTAATTTTCTGGCATACCTCTGCCACGTCTGCCAGGGAACGTGACACAAAGGAGTCCCGTGAGTTTCCATCCAGCAGGCTGGGTCCCAGTAAGGAGGTGCCACTGGTGTTCCCAACTGGAGTTGGTAACATTTTTCGTCCCTTCTCCGGGGAGATGAAACTGGCTACAAAGAAAAAGCACATCAATAAGTCACTGCACTGAGTGTTTTTAACTGGGAAGGTAAAGAGAAGGACAAGGAAATTAAAAATGGAGGACAGATATCCATTTCTTCCATCTTTTAAAAATTGTGTGTTACCAGCATTGATACCATCATCATACTGCTAAGACTAAGGAGACTCATTACATTGGCCCCATGAATTATTAATTAAAAAAAACTCTCAACAACTAAACCTCAACCAAACCCAGTGAGTAACCTCATGTCTTTGAGATAGTACTTACCAAGCACACAACAAAGTCTATTCTTCCACTAGCAGAGCCAAAGACATCTGTTCATTTTGGCACAACATCCAAATGTCTCACCCTAACTGATGAGTCAGGCTCCAAACAAACTACAAGGAACTGCCAAGGAATTACTTGTCCCAAGCTATGGGCCCCAGTCTAGCAATGGGATCTCTTCAGGAGCAAACTTGTGAAGAGAGAGAAAATGTACTCAAGGCAACACTGGAAATGAAAGCAAGAAGTATTTGGAATAATTCTACAAATGTTCTACTGGGTTTATAATTTCTCAAAGGATTTACTTCTGATAAACAACGTTGCGTTTTTTGTTAAGAGGAAAGTACTTCTTGGTTGCACTTCTCTGCATCTGAACACTTACAGAACAAGCTGCTGAGGGAGGAATCTGTGGAGTCATTGGGGTACCACTGGGGATCATGGGTGGGAGACGCAATCCAGTTCTGCTGAGGACTACTGGATGGGGACGGAAGACTTTTGGAGCTGTCACTGCCATTCAGCTTTGCAGGAGAGAGAGAAACACCTTCACCTGAAAGCCAATGTTGGAGATCACGAATTCAGTCAATATGGTAAAGTTACAGGACACTGCACCAACTTTTGTTGAGAAAGGAAAGAAACTCACACAACAACAATAACCCCCCCGCCCCATATTTGCTAGAAAATAAAGGCCAGGCACGGAATTTTATTTCCAACATATATTTGGAAACAAACTAACAAAAAAATCCCAAACCCACAAAAACTTCATAACCCAAGAACTGCTTCCTGGAAAAGTTTCTGCTGCTATGTAAGATGTCAAGGATTTTTTTTCAAGTTGATGGGGAGACTTTAGCTAATATTAGACTTACTGTATTGGCCAGAGCTGATGGCTATTTCAATGATGGAATCACTGATCTGAGTGGCAGGTTCCCCTTGGGAAAGCACATCTTCAGGTGGTCCAGGCAAGGAAATATCCAAGAGAGCAGAAACATTGGGAGGAGAGAGCTGAGTACTGGAAGCTTCTGATGAGGGAAGTGGAGGGGTGGACAGACCATTTTGGAGAGAAGTCTTGGCCAGTTCTGGCAGAGAAAGGACTGTTGTACCCTATAACAAGAAACAGAATTAATTGTTCATAAATTTATTAAGAACTTGGAAAACTAAAAAGCAACATTTTGGTTCTTAAATGTCAGATTAAAACCAGACTTTTAAGGGGAAAAAATCCAGTAGATAATATGCCTAAATTAGAGGAATATACTGTTTATGTAATAAATCTGTACTATTTTAATGAAAAGTACTGGTAAGCATATATATTCAGCCCATATCCTGCGAAATTATCTAAAAAAATATGAATCTGTAACATTCTAAAAAAATATTCAAAGCATCCTACATAACAGAACAAGCATAATCTTAAAATTAATATAATTTTCATAAATTTACAAGACAGTTCCAAATAAGTATGTATTAATTTGCCTTTGTATAGGCAAAAACCCTTTAAATGATGGAAAAGTACATAGATATTTAAAACTGGTAACTCACATTTATTCACTTTTTACTTCCCAAAATTCTTTAAGATCTTAAAGGAGTCTTATTACCAGTACCTCATTGTAGAACTGTATTTTTTTTCTGATGTAGTGTATACACAGCTGTCCTAAGAGCAAGAACCAGAACCCAAGGCCCCATTACCACAAGAAATGCCTCATAAGTTCATGTCCTAACATCTGTCCCATAAAAAATCCTAATCTCCAATCAAACTAATTTGACCTTTTTCACATGCAAGCATCACAGGGAGCATGGAAAGCGCTCCCACTGAAGAAAAGAAGAGCCTGTATTCTGAGACTTAAAAATCCAGCACCAGGTCCTGGATGCCACTGGAGAAAGAGTCCGGGGACAGGACGACAACGCTCTTACAATTTAAGTGCCATCAGAGTTACTCTAAAGTATCTGTCTATGTCTTACTGGATCCAGCACAATGAACAGCGAATCTCTGGAAAGGATGCTGACATTACAATCATACTTTCAGTCCTAATACCCCTCCTTTGTCAACATGGAGGCTGCAGGACTGCAAACTGCTGAAATCTCTCCTTGTGATGTCTAAAATACACACATAGATATAGCAGAGTGATTATAAACTCCTCCACTCTATTAAGAGATATGTAAAACTTGTCTGTTCTTCACAGGTCAGGGACTGTCAGATTCACTTTGATTTTAGGGAATGACACACACACATATTTAAGCAGCTTTCCTAAACTTCTTTCAATTTCTTCAGATTCTAGGGATTCAATTTCCACCAGACAGTACCCGTGGTGCACAATTACCTGGGAGTACAGAGTTTTAACTAACAATACCAGTGGTATTTTCACAGAACATTATCCATTCCAGAGCACTGTACCTGGAAGCCATCCTGCTCGGGCCGGGTCGGCAAGCTGATGTATGGCACCCGGCACCCCGGGCCTGAGCCCTGCAACCACAACAGAAACCACTTGAGTGACCAGCTGGGGAGGGAACAGACAAAGGCCTATCACCATTTATCTATGCTCTTCATACATCTCATGTCGTTCATGTTGTTGTCCATCAACTCCCTGAGAATATGACATGGACTAACATGTATCTGGGTCTCAATGGAAGAAACAGCAAGGAGAAATATAGTTTCCACTACAAATGCAATCCCAAAAAGTCCATGTTTTGCACCAGATCCCCTCCTGAATTTCTGAAATTCCATTATTTCTTTTCAAACCAGATTTCTGTACATTTCTGGCATTTCAAGTTCAATGCTTAACCAGCTGCAAACCATTGTACAGGATGGAAATTCATTCAATGAGATGATGATTTGATCCCTCAACCCCAAATACATACGACACAATGCATACTGGGTCTGCCATGACAGCAGTATCTAACAGCAAGCTCCAGGAGAAAGGTCACTGAGGAGTCATAATAATACAGCTTTTTTTATACGATGAAAGAGCAAGGTAGTTAAGCACTTGAAAAAAGCTCATTTAAGAGCCTCTGACCTCCACAGTGGTGATAGAGCCTCCATTCTGATGTGCTACTGCTGGCTCCTGCCCTGTCACCACCGTGGGCACTGCATCTGGTGACAATGGAGACACTCCTGGCAAACCATCTGCATCCAGGACAGGCACGTGACTACCAGGGATAATGCCAGCACTTTTCGCTGCCAAGTCAATAGCACCTTGGGTGAAACAAAAAACCAAAAAACATATCACAAGCTTCTTCTTTGCTTTGTTATGATTCTCTAAAAGATGATTTTTTTTTAAACTTACCCAGAGTCAAAACTCAACCTATGTAAAAAAGCAGCAATGGTAACGAACTGATCATCTTCTCTGCACCAAGGGTAACACGGCTTTTAGCTGAAATGTTTAACTTTCCTGCCCTTTCCAACCTCTTATTAGGTATATCAAAATAGTTGTGAAACACCCCAGTTCCCCTCCCATCCTCTTCTTCTATTTTTTCCTTTTTTGTCCTCCAAATTGGTAAGTATTTCATTATGCAATTTCCAGAAATTTCCTATGGGTTACTCGAGGAGCTCTAGAAACAATGGAGCCTTGTTTTGTTATCTTGCCTCTGGCAGCCATGTAGACTCAATGTAAAAAATCTAAGTTGTTATAAGGGTCAACCTCACCCAGATCTTTTAAAATCCACTTCAAACATCTGTATGTCTTCTCATCTCAAAAGAATCCTCTAGGTAAAACGTAGATGCAGTCACTGTTTTCACCTCATTAATTGTTCTAATTATGGAACCCACACTGCTGTGAGACAGTATCTGCCTGGAGGACACCAGCATGGCTTTTATTGCAGAATTCAGAATGACTTACTAGACAGATGGCTGGTGGCCTGTTTTGGAAGAACTTTGGGCACAATTGGACGAGAAACAGCAGCTTTAGTCAGTGCAGATGGGATTGGCCGAAATGAACCTCTCCCTGGGGGGAAGCATTAATACCTTTCAGGCAAATGAAATCTAACACCTTTAAAGCAGAACACAACACAGTTCAATAGATGCAAAAAAATTCCAAACAGCAGCAAGCTGCAGGAATGCAAGTAGTGGAGCTGATGGAATAGAGCTAAAATAATGATTGAGCTAAGCAGTGTCTTGCCATGGACATGCAACAGCAAGTGCTGCTGTGGTACTGGAGCTGCTCTCATACTGTCAGTGAAGGCAACCCTTCAGGTCTCAATGCTGCCTTTCGTGGGGGATCACCTGTACTACCACTGTACTCAAGAGTGTACCAGCAGAAAAGGACATATGGGCAGTGGATTGCTTATGCTGTATAAAATTTAGACAGTACCCCAGATACTAGAGAAAGCCAAATACAAAATCTAGACAAATCATTATACCCTACAGAACAAAAATTTCTATCTAAGTATTTCATTCCAAATTTTGTCTCTCTGTTAAGAACTCCTTGCTCTTCTGTGATTTCAGTCTTCAAAAACTGAAGAAAAAATTTTTATCAAAAGCACGACTTGCTTAACAATGATCCAGGAGAGCAATCCCATCATTCTGCAGGCTGGTGACACTGTCATTTTGAAAGAGTATTTTCTTTTTTTTAGATATTACTTCTTTATGCAGTTTTAAGGGACACTTTTCAGTTTATAGAAGTGCTACACTCACCTGTAATGGATGAGTTGGATAAGATAGAAAAGGAACAGACATGCTGGGACGGATTTCCAGATGGCCTGGGGAGCAGTGTTCTCTATGTGAGAGAAACAATAAACCAGAATAGATTTAAACACAGACAGAGGGCAATACTCATTGTGTAAGTTACAGGAGTTCACAAGACTTTCCAGAATAAGCAGAATATTTCTGTGGCATTACAATCATGCACCAGACACAGCAATGGGATCAGTGTGGTCTCGAGAAAAAAGCTACAGACAGGAATGATGTATTTTCTCTGTAAACTACTAAAAGAAGGTATTTCCATGTGGAAAATTCTCAGAAAAATGCTGATTAGAACTGTAATCCTCTCTGATTATACTTGCAGTGATTTACAAATCTCTCTCAGAATTACAGCAGTGCTCTTAAGCTTGGGACCTGGTCTGTGTACAAACTGATCTACCATTAAAATTCAGCAAGTGTGGTTGACTGAGATAGCTGTGTGTACTGGGAGCTCTTAAAACATATGGAATTGCCCAGATCTGAAGACCTCAGGATCAAAGAATAGTCCAGGGGGTAATTTCCGTGTCTTCTACTCTTACACAAAACAGAAGAGAAAAAAAGGTATAGTGACACTTGGGAACTTTCTTTTCCCCAGTAGGTTACTATTATTTATGTTTCAGTTTTGTTTTTTCTCACCTGCCTCTGGTGTCCCAGGTGACACATGCCTTTCCCCAGGGTTATCAGAGCAGTCTAAAGGAGGGTAATGCCTGTCTGTCACCAAAGCACCACAACAACAGGCCACTCCTTCCATACATCTCTTTCCAAGCCCCATTTTTTCCCAGGAATCATTGCTCTTTCAAAGTGTGTTATGGTTTATTTCTCTACAGAGGCTTAATATCCACCACAGTTTAACATCCACTACTGAGCAGGAAGCCGGAAAAGGATATAAAGAAAGATTTTGTTGTTAAGAGGACTGCCAGCTCCAACACTGCCGGCACAGGACAGCACAGGGATACATTTTCTATTCCTCAGCACCAGAAGGCCCAGGTAGCAGAACCTGCTTCCAGGTTCCAGAAGCCTGTTCCAGCAGCTTTTTTATTTTTCCAAACTACCTTAGGCACTGGACTTCCACTGTTCTTGATATTCTTCATACAGGGAATGTAACATGGCTAGTTCCACTAGCGACTGAAGTGTTTGCTCCTTCATAATTTCAGCTTTCCATTTCCGGTGGATGCATGCGGGAAATTCTGCTTTTTATTTGTAATGTGCAAATCACTACAGCCTTACTGATACTCAGGGAGTAAAACAGGCATTTACACTTTGCTCTGACCTGTACTACCAGTGGCTTCCGCAAGTGCCTGTTCCGTAACTTCCTGGGCTTTGGCAGGAAGAAGTCCGACTGCATCTGGACAACAACAAGAAATGCATTACAAGTATTTTAAGCATCCAGACACAGAATAAATTATATCCTCAAATTCTTATTTTCAATATAGATGAATTAAGAGTTAACTAAAATACTATGTTTTGTTTCAGATAGCACAATATCCTTCCTGCTAGAGTCAGAATATTTTCCACCAAGACAGTATTTCTTCTTCTCTTTTTATGGAGACAAAACTTTGTCACAAAAAAGATATTTCATTACCAACTACTTCACCTTCCTACAAAACTCTTACTGAGATTGTGTACATAAAAATTAGAATTTGACTTAAATACAGCAATGAGGCTGTCTTAAAATTAGCTCCACATCAGACGGGGATCAGTTTTTGCTAAATATGGCACATAAATTCCTGGAGCAATTTAATTAGACAGCAAATCAGTGTCATCGGGCTGTGTGATGGCATTCAGATTTGAATTACCTGAACAGATAGTGTCAGTTCAAAGTACAGATACATAGTCAAAATCTGACTCATTTCAGTTGATACAATGTTAAACTTGAGCATGATAAGCATGGCTCCACAAGGGAGCCCATACTTTCTGATGAATTCAGAATCCCTGTGATACCTCCTGGAAGCTGGCTCATGCACACCACGCTGCGTTTTCTATTCAGCCACCTCACTTACACTGATGGTGTCCAGGTGCTGCCGGAAAGTCAGCTCTGCTTCCTTGCTGGGTAGGAACAGCTTCCCATGGCGGCTGTTGGGGGGCAGGGTTGTAGGGACTGCAAACAGTCCACTGTCGGCCTCAGTGCTCACAGAACTTGAAGGACTAGCCACCAAGAGAGGTCTAGGGAGATTTCTCAAACCTAGGAGATTTTAACAGCAATTTAAATGAAATAAAGTGAAAACAAGAAGGAAATAACTGTTTAGTAACAGAAGGATCATAGAAAGCTGGGACTTAAGGCTTCTGGCTCTGTCATCAGCTGCTTCCAAAATCATCAATCTCTCCATATTTCAGTTGTCCCACCTGGAAACTGACAGTATTTACCCACTATGGATACCACTAATATTCACTTACTTTGAAATACTTGGAAGTAGGGGATTAAATATAATTTTACACTACTTAAGAAACTAGAATTGAAGCCCTGTTTTCAGCCCCGCATAGACCATGACAATAAGTTTATTTGTTCAGCTTGTAGGCATACCTGAGGGCCTATCCCAGTAAGCAAATTATATCCGCCACTTCTTATGTAGGGGAAGATAATACAAACACAGAGGCATTTTACAGTGTGTATGATTTATTTACACTCCTGCTTTCCCTATAGTAATTCGAAGTGCAACCCCAATAAAATCAATCCAGTGATGGAGTGGAGATGAATTTACCAAAAGACCTTCCCAAAGATGGA